AGAAAAAGAGAAAGAAAGATAAAAGTTAACGATAGTTAAGAGGACAAGGGAGGACATCTGGCCCCAGATGAGGATGTTAGGTAGAAAGGAGAAAACCAGAATAAGATTGAATGCATGAATTGGCCCTTTTTAAAGAGTAAATTGAAAGAATTGGCAAATTTGAGTATAGTAGACTAATGGCAAAGATACCAAATGCATGAACAAGTGTCCTTGTTTCAGCTCTCTGGAATGCTGTGTTATTGTTCCATTTTCATACCAATTTGGCCTAGTTGCGTAAGGGGTGGCATCGAACAATATACAGTATTTGTAAATATTACCCCGTTTCCCTGAAAATAAGACCTCCCTGGAAAATAAGCCCAATTGGGCTTTTGAGTGCATGCACTGAAATAAACCCTCCCCCGAAAATAAGCTGAAAATATTGCAACATGCTCACCGCCTCCTGCACCTCAACAATAAGCCCAAGTGCTTATTTTAGGGTCAAAAGAAAATAAGACCCTGTCTTATTTTCAGGGAAACATGGTATATGGCTACCAAACATTTAAATGGTTACCAAAAATTCTGTTTCAGATATTTTTTCTTTAAAGGAGAATATTTGTAACTCAGGGTTGAAATGAGGATTCCTTGCTGCTCTCTGAGTTTGCTTGTTACCTTTGCAGGTGTTTCATTGCCCAAATAGGTAACATCATCAATACTGTATCAGCATACGATAATATTGAGCCTAGCGTACCCTAACATTTTTCTTTTGTATGCAAAATACAACTGTTTCCACATATGCATTTACTGTATGTGATCAATTGTAAAATGTAATCTATTTGATGGCAGAAGGTAATATGAGGATGTCTGTGCTGCACATATTTATAATTTCTTCCAAGAGGATAATAAGAAAAAGTAGATCACTACAATCCCATTCACTACATATTGAGTCCCAAATGACCTGGGACTGTAGAACAGAAGGAAACATACCGTATTTTGAACTCAGACATTGACTAGGAATAATTCAGAGATGATGTACCTCTGGCTCCCAGGAATAACATAACTAGGAGCAGTTTAGTTTGACTAATACATTAATCAGAAAAATGTAGCAGCTCCAAGGAACTTATTTGTTTTTGGCAGAAAGATCATTGTGTTCTGATTTTTTAGAGGAAGGATTGGCAGAACCTGAGGGGATGGAATTGAAAGAGGGATCAACCTAGAATCTCTACATAGCCATAAGTCCAACCAACCAACCAACCCCCCCCCCAAATTCCTTTGATCCTTATCTAACTCCTAGCAGGTGCTAACTATTAGATGAGACTATTTTTGTGTATTATGAATACAGTAAATCAGTTTTAGTTGAATCTTCAGATGTGGACATGATCTTTTACACCTGACTGATGTTATGCTTAGGAAATGGTATGCATTTTGGGCTTGCTGATAAGAATTAATAACTATAATAATGTAACATGGGTAGATTACCTGTAGATTAAGTAATAATGCAGATAAGAATGGAAAGGAAAATCACAATTGTTTTAATAGCTTATTAAATGAATGGATGTTACGTAATTTCCTGCATTAAGTTTGAAGCTAAAGCAAATGAACTTTTTAATGTTTTTGACTGAATTCTATTCATATTTCTGGCCATTTATTCCAGTGGTAAGATATATGAATTTGTCAGATACAGATAGGTCACCAATATTATTTTATACATATTTTCTTGATGTAACTGTTTGGAAATGAGCCATCTGAATCCAGTCTTCTCCCTATATTTAACAAATTAGAAACATCCACGTTTGTTTCTTGTGTAGTTTGGGGAAATTGCAGAGAAAAATTCCGAGTGGATTGTGTTCTGCATGTCTCCTAGTAATTGCCTCATACTAACCAGTTGCCTACTACAGTATCCCAAATCAACCTCCAGCAAATCATTTGTACTACTAAAACCACTGATTCCTGTGTAAAGCAAGTTATGCTTTAAAGAGATGCCACAATCTCTTAGAAATCCAAAAGAAAGGATTCTCATTTATGATCAAAAAATAAATGTGATGTGAATTACACCTTTCCATCTGATAGCTGACTATTCAACAGTCCTCTTCTAAAATATAAAGAAAAGTGTGCAGTTCTTACCAGCGTGAACCTATGCTTTTCATCTTCCTTTTGACATCCTACTTTTGTTTCCAGGGATGGATCTTATCTCATTTTGGGTTGTCTGTAAAAATGTGTGAATAATGCATATAATGCAGAATGGGAACAGCAAACTATATTAATTGCATAACTACGTTTCAAAGAACAGAAGATATATTGTGATAATGTTTTTTGATATTTAAGTGACCGTGTGATGTAACTTTTCTGTTCTTTGTATCCTCTCTCCCCCCTCCCCCACCCCAGGTTGAATGTTGGATGATAAAATTCCATATACTCTTTGATTTCCATTATGTCTTGGTTTACCGACCTGGCTGGCAAGGCAGAGGACCTTCTCAATAGAGTGGACCAAGGAGCTGCATCTGCTTTAAGCAAGAAAGAAAATGCAAGCGGTATAACCTATGTTGGTAGCCAGGTGGATGATGTCAATTTGTATCCCAATCCATATAAGACCAGAGAGCAGGAGGATCATGCGTCATCTGCATCAAGTTTTATTTCATCAGCAGCGGAGAACATTAAACATCAGAAGGCAACAATTTTAGCAGGAACTGCCAATATTAAGGTAGCACCCAGGCCCCCTGTGGAAGGCTCTCCATCCGCAGAAACAGCTTCTGCGTCCAGACCCTCTTTCCAATTTGTGAGAAGGAAAAAATCTGAACCGAACGATGAACTCCTGTTTGACTTTCTAAATAGTTCTGAAAAAGAACCTAATGGGAAAAAGGACCTGAAAAGGGAGAAGAGCAAAGCAGCCACTGTTCAAAATCATTCTCGGACTTCAAGTATTAGCTCTGTCTCAGCAAGTTCACACAGCATGAAAACAGGGGAAGACCCTTCCATTCAAAGTCAAGGCAATGGTAGTTAAGCATAACCACAGATGTTAAGGAATGTTTTAAGGATTCTTTTGAAGGGTATTAATGGTGACAGGATTCTGGTCTGATATTGATGATCATTCAGTGCCATTCTGATTGTGTTGGCTAAACTGAGATTATATAAGCATATGGATCACAGTTTAGGATGTCTCTTATATCCATCTGGATAGTTTGTTGAAAAGCCATGTTTACTTACCCTCCCGATGGGTTAATACAAAAGCTCTCCCAAGTTCCCATTTTGGGAAGTGCACTCAAAAACACCAGATTGTAATCTATACAGTGGTATAGATTACTACTCATTCATACAAAGCTTCTTTGATAAATTAGAAATTGTCTGATTTCCTAATGCTTGTTTCATAAGCAGCATTCACATAAGTTACAAAGGGATGGAGACTAACCTCCATGTAAATGATGTTCAAGGATCAAAGCAGGTGATGTAATCTTACTAAATATAATAATAATGAGGTTAGTCCATGAGGAGCAAATGTAGAAATATCAGAGTTTTCTATTTCCTTGGTACAGGTTCACTGAATGTACTATTTCTATAATTTTCCAGAAGTCCCTGCCCCTTGAGAGGAGGAGGATGCAAGTTTAAATATTTAAATAAATTAAATATTTAATCATTCAAATCCATACTAAGTGTGTATAGACAAGTCAGTGTTGCATTATTAATTCTAAAGGCTTTGTCTTGTTTTTTTTCTCTCTCTAAAATTATTGCTGCAAATTGTAAAATGCAGGATGCACTTCAGAAACTTGTTTACATTTGCCTTACTTGCCTTTTGCAAACAGAGTTATGGGTACTTAAAATAGCAATCCAAATGTATCTGTTTATTAATATGGCCCACAGCTTTTTAAGACTTCCCTGGCTCCCATTTTACTACATTTCATTATTTCGTGTAGGTGGCCATCTTTCTTTATGATAAGTATGCATGATATTTCTAAATGGTTTTTCACCCTTGCTGAACTTTTGTTTATCCCCACAAATACACTCTTTGCTAAATGAAATAAATAATACTGTGGGAATTGAACTAATGAAGCAAACAGGGTTGCTTATTTTAGTAACTCTTTTAATTACCTGTGAAACTACGTAGTTTTCTTTTTATTAGTGTACTGACAAAAATGATGTGACAGCAATAGGCAGATGGGCACTCTTGAAAGGGTTTTGGATTTCAGCCCCCATCAGCTTTAGCCAGCATGGAAATTGCCCCTGAATTGTGAGAATTATAATCCAAAATATCTGGAAGGTGTCCCTTTTTTCCCATTTCTAGTTGTAAGACGTACTTTGTTCATTACCTTTATTATTGCAAAGTTGGTTTTATTAGGCAATGTAAGACCCAGCCAACAGCAGGGGTCTTGGCTTTCAGTATACTGAAATGAACACAGTTCATTCAGTTGTGTTTTGAGGCTTTCCACTTTGCATGCAAGTGCATTTATAGGCACTTATATGTAACCTGCAGTTTTTGCCTACATTTTGCAAGACGGGAGACCTATTCAGCATTTGAACATCATTAATTTTGTGGGTCATAAATTAACAATGTCTGATCTATTTTTGAAATGTCAGATGTTTAATTTGTTTATAGTATATGTGAAGTAAGGGTGTTTCATGTTTATAATAGTGCTATAATTATTTTTTAATCTCCCTGTTTATAAGCTAATGTACAATTATTTATTATAGCAATCTTGTTAACCTCAATGACACTTTCAATAGCTATATAGTTTGTCATAGAAATTGAACAGTGTCAGGTTTCTTAAATATGAATCTCTTTGTATAGAGACGTCTGATAGTTCCAGTTCTGGATTGGAGACGGATGTGGATATTAAAAAGGATTCATTGCAAACCCCAGAAATTAATCCCAACCTTACCCTTAATGACGGTAAATCACATGAACTGTCCAATCTTCGCCTTGAAAATCAACTACTGCGTAACGAAGTGCAATCTTTAAATCAAGAAATGGCATCATTAATTCAGCGAGCCAAAGAAACCCAAACAGGTAGAGTGAAGGTTTGCACATTTTAAAAGATCCTTTGTGGGCTGCTAGTTGAAGAAGTCTTTTTAATCCGTTCAATCCAAGTGGGAACCATCTTTTTTTTAAAAAAAAAAATAGTGATATTCATCAAAATAAAGTGCTTTGTGTTCTATAGCAAAGTTAAATGCTTAATGATGGCTTTGAAGTAGACCAAATTACATTCTATATTTTCTTATTGGGCTGAATATATAGAAATGTGTTAAATAAGAGATTTATAAAAGTATCCCCCCACCACCTTTTGGATGAGCTTTTTTCAATTTCTCCTGTATAGCTAAATATATATGTCTCATTTAGTAATTTACTTCTGCCTGTCTAGTGGCTTACTGGTTTTGTATGTACCTGGTAAAGCAGCTGCCCATCCCTGATTATGCTATTACTCCCTTCTGCCCCTCTTAGGGAGATTAACCTTTTTCTCTGTCCTTAACTGGAAATGCAAAAGGAGGGAGCCAAGTGTTTCATGCACGTAAATCATGAGCAGTGAGCATTCCATGTTAGCCTTAAAATGTAATATTCCTTCTAATTAGGATTTGAGATAGAAAATGCACCATGTTTCATCTACTTCTCTTCTACATGAATTCTTCCTTTGTTTCCATTGCTTGCTTTTCTATAGACCCTTGCTTCAATTGGCATAAGCCTTAATACAACCAGGATTGTCTGTATAAGCAGGATCTGAAGCTGATTGATATTTTCAAAGATTACTGTCATTGCAAACCCAGTGATCAAATTCAGGAGAAAAATGGAAGAACTCATGTAGGTTTGTGGAAGAATAAAAGGAGTAATGATTGCTTCCAATATGATTTCATATCCCAGCTGTAGTTGTTTTATATTGTATATTTTGTGCATTCAAATCAATCTTTGTCTCCAATTCCATGCAATTTCCATAGCAACCTTTTTTTGAAAGTGGTTTGCCTTCTTCCTAGAGTTAAGAGAAAGTGATTGGTTGAAAGTCATCCAGGCATTTTAATGCCTAAGGCAGGATTAAAACTCACATTCTTCCATTCTTGGAATTCCTTTAACCACACACCAAACTGGTTTTCCTACCATAGTTACATAACTGGAAACATGACTGGGTTTATGTATTATGCTAAGCCATAATTAAAGTTTGTTTCTGAATTGGTTGGATATGTAAATCCGGACATTCTGGTTTAAGCATTATGGTTGAACCAGGACACATAGTCTAAATAACAAAATACATTTTTTTAAAAACTCTGGCTTAGTGGGTCAGCATATGAACCAAGAACTTTTTCTGATCACTGACAGAAACACACTGCACACAAATAATATGGACTATAAACTTACTGATATTTACTAACGTCAACTTTATAGAATTAACCAATGCCCGGGCAAGAGTTGAAAAATGGAATGCTGACAATTCAAGCAATGACAGACATGTTCGGGGACTTCAAGCTCAAATTGATGATCTGACTGAAGCTGCTGCTGCCAAGGATTCCCAATTGGCTGTCCTAAAAGTGAGATTGCAGGAGGCTGATCAACTTCTGAGTTCACGTAATAAAGCTCTGGAAACACTACAGAATGAAAAATCCAGGTATTCAGCGTCCATCATGTCACTGTATTTATTGGAGAGATTAGGCTGTTTAGGTTTAAGGGTATTGGCTATTCATCCCTCTTGTTTGTTAAAATTATTTTTACATCTCTTTTTTTCTTT